ACCGAGAGCAATGGTGCTAACTCTGCAGCCTGCAACCGGTTAATTCTTCAATCTACATAGAACAAATGTTCGCCCACGCACATTTGTCTGGTGCAGAATATCGGTTCCAAAACTCTGAAGGGAGGCTGACAAAACTGTGCACTACTGCCAACTCTCCCCCCGTCCCGAACTTCTATCGTTCAACGAGCTGCCGCTTTTTTTCATAAAAACACCAGTTACTGTCAGAAACTGTAAAATTACCAAGTTTGAGGAGTTTTTTGTCACTTTTATCTCAATTTTGTACTGATACTTACGTTCGACCTTACTTGTAAACCGGCAATAAATACAATTACAAATGCTCCACCAACCCTGCGAAGTATTAGTTCGGTCTCCCATGCAATATGTTGTACTAGGGCGGCGTCCGTGAATAAATACGGATTATGACGTCCATCAGTGATTGCAATTGAGGGCTAAGAATATGGTAAATAATGTTGGCTTTATGGCTTAAGAGAGCCCAATGGATGTACCGAATTTTTGTTTCTCTAAATTACAGACAACTGAACGGTGATTTCATTCAGATCTAAGGGGCTGTTGTGCGCATTAGAGGCCTTAGGTTTTAATTAATTCTTTGAATTGGCTGGGACAGCCAGCCTGTGTGGCCATTCCATATATCTGCATAGGAAGTTAACTCATACGGACGTTTGATGCAACACGTTAGTGCGCATGAACATTAGAGCCTGCAACGGACTCCTATTGCGGTGATGCATTCAGAGGCACACTTGATACTTATTTACTGAGAAATTAGTATGCACATAGTCATATGCGGGGCCGTGGTGACAGTTTGTTACTGTCCCACAATTATTGATGACTGCACAACTTCCAGAATGAATGCTGTACATTGATGTTATTGCTTTCGCGTATGAACAGGGAGTTTAAGAGCAAAAGCCTTATTCTGTAAATCAAGTGCCTTTAATTGTCTTATATCTACGCACCAGAACTACAAAATCCTTGTGAACTATTCACCGTTGATCTTACGTCGAACTAGTTTTTCTTGTTATATTTTTAAGGAATATGGGTTATTGGGGTGGGTATGTTTCAGACTAAAATAACTTTATTGACATTTTCATGTCTGCTCATATTTTATTTCATGATATGGTCTACTTTATATATAAGCTGTATGCAAAATTGACAACATTGACAACTTTTAGACTCTTTGATCCTTTCATGAGACTCATTGTATAACCAAACAAACATAAATGTATAATTCCGTAATTATATTTGCACTATGAATGGTTCATCCAAAATAAGATAAATTGCACAACCCATGCCTAAGTTTAATTTAACTTCTTTTCGATTTCAGGCGTCGCGCATGAAGATAGTTATGTAAAGTAAAGTCAAGGTCAGTCCCGACTTCAGGAACCAGTCAGTGATTCTCCCGTTTTCTATTGGTCCTTACGGTCGAAAAAGTGTGAAGGTGAACCCGCTTGTGTTAATTTTATTGGTTGGACAAAATGGCATATAAAGGTACTTCTCCATCTCCATGCGATTTTCTACACCCTGCGGGAGAAACAGCTATGGCCGCCGACCGTTTTACCGAGAGGACTTTTATAATGGTTAAGCCCGATGGGGTTCAACGTGGCTTAGTCGGTGAGATCATCAAACGCTTTGAGCAGCGAGGCTTCAAGCTGGTTGCGATGAAGTTCATGCACGCTTCTGACAAAATTTTGAATGAGCATTACGCAGAACACAAAGGCAAACCTTTCCTCCCTGGTCTGGTCAAGTATATGTCCTCCGGTCCCGTTGTGCCTATGGTTTGGGAAGGCTATGAGGTAAGGCGTTCTCCCACATTGTTTTACTTTCAGAATTTCCTACATTAATTAGGGTCGGCTGGAATTTCCACCACATTATTGTCGCGCCTTACTAGTAAACCTTTTATTTTGAACCGTTGACTCCATAACCCCACTCTGCCCCCTACTCGTGGCAGCAAATAACCACTGTCATCGAGAGTAGATGGATGTCCATTTACCCTATGAGGTCCTTACCAACTCGTTCTGTCGGTTCTGCACGAA